TATTCTGTTCTTCTATTTTTGCTGTTATAATTGTTAGAAAAATCAATAAAGCGCAGGCAAAGAATATTTTTTTTTTTTTTTGTTAACGATAACGAAAAGCTTTTCTATAACACTTGAAAAACAATAATCAAAAGAGGCAAAAAAAAAAACAAAATAAATAACTGTTATATAACATTTTTTTTTTGGATACATTGCATAGCTATTTATACATGTGCATAATTATATAATCAGTTTGTTTCTATATATAACAACCGGAATGTTGTGCATTGGTGTTCCATCTTATTTTTTGATTGCAGTAGCATCTTAATTGCAATACAATTGAATGAAAATTTTTGGGAGCAAAGTAAAATTTAAAAAAAAAAAAAAAAAAAAAAGTTACTCAATTTAGTATAGAAAGTTGATGCTATTGAGATTAGCTACTTGAGATTTCTCTCTCTCTCTCTCTCTCTCTCTCTCTCTCTCTCTCTGTATACATTTATATATTGTTATACAGAAATGTATTTATTATACTAATTATGTACGGGTATGATTGCGCATAATGTATATAAAATTAAATAATTTAAAAATATAAATTTGAGCTTTTTTTCATGTTTTTTTTTTTTTGAATTTTGTATTGCAAAATTTACCATTTAAATTTTATTTTCAAAATTTGAATAATAATTTTGCCCAATTTTCCTTTAAATTGAATTGCATATCTGCACATTAATTAACATTAAAAAATTTCTAAATTAACAAATGCAATTTATACGCAAAACAAATTTGCAATAAAAACATTACATTCATAAGAACACTTAAACAACACTCATTAAATTGTATATTATACAATTGAGTACACATACAACTACTGAGTAATAATGAGTGGTTGAGTAAACACTCAAAAAGAACTCAATGAGTATGGTGGTTATAAGAGAAAATAAAAATTTTAACTTACCATTTTTATTTTGTGCTTTTCTTCTTCTTCATTCGTTTCTTTCGTTTGTTGAAGGACTAACCATTTGGTTTTTAACAATTTTATTACTTAATTTAAAAGAAAAAATATATGATTTTTATCTCATTTCATTTAAGATAACAAATAATAATAATATAATTAGATGAAAAGGATAATAATAACATAAAAGTAAGAATTATGGTAATTAAATAAAAGAAAAAAATTTTTTACAATATACTAGAAAAAAAATTTTAAAATTTTGTGTAAAATATAATAAAAAATTAAATAATTGAAAATGTGATCCTCGAAAAATTTTCATAATAATTTTTGTAAAATTAAAATTTTATAATAAATTTTAATGAAAAGGACGAAAAAATTAAAAAAAATTTATTAAATATTAAAAACAAAACCTAGCCTAATTAGAATATAGAAAACGAAAAATTTAGTAAAAATTTTTTCCGAAAATATAAACAGCGTTATATATATATACCTAATATACAATCCTATACATATAAATTATATAGTTAAAAAATTAATAAAGAAAACAAAATAGAAAATTTAATAAAATGACAGAAACAGCAGTTAATGCAGAAACAACGGCAAATGCAAATGTTAAGCCACCGGTAAGTTTTTACAATATTTTTTATTTATTTCTTTTCATTATATACTTCACTTACACACACACACACCCATAGACACATGCATAAAAGTAGAATATATATGTAGGTGTAGTTGCCTATTATAAATTTTACTATTAATTTTTAATGCAACTTTTGATTTATAACAAACAAATAAAAAAAAAGCTTTTAATGCTCTAGCATACTTTTATCTAAAATATGATTAAGAAGAAAATAAGTATATTGTATATCTTTTGTGATTTTGATAACAACACACACCTACAAAAAATATATTGAGTGTATAAATTATGATTAGTTTGTGTTTAATTCAAGTTGCATACAAAAGAGAAAAAAAAAATGAACAGTGAGTTTTAAAAGTTGTTTGAGTTTTTAAAAAAAAAAAAATTTAAATACAAAAATATTTTTCTTAGTGATCAACTATTCACAATTTCACGTTAATTATAATGATAATTTCATTTAACAGACGTGATTTGTTACGATTGTCAAAATTAAATCAATTTCATTTCGGTTTTCAATTTCATTTTATCCAAAATGATTTTCCCATTACGGGTATCATGAAAAAACCAATTCAGTGTTGGCGGCCGAGTAGTGAAAACAGTGTTAATTAATTTTTATAGCAAAATATTAAATGATGAATGTTTTCGGTGTTTTCCAATTCACGATATGGATGCTTGCGCCCGAACAATTACAATACTGTTAATTATTAATACTTAATATTGAATTAAGAACGCTTTCGAGGTTTTTCCAATTCACAATGAGATAACTGACACCCGAACAGTGGAAATTATTGACAGTTAATTATTGATATTGAGATATTGATATTGAATGTAAAATATTATATAAAGAACATTTTCGGTGATTCCGTTAATTTGTCATTTTTGAAGTTGTCAAAACGATCATAGATTATTTTCTCTAAGGGTAGTTGAAATCTTTTGTAGCTTTAGAAATAAAATAAAACATATTGAACGTATAATGGGGTGATATTCCTTTTATCTCAGCAGCTCATATTGGAATTACCTTTCAATTCCATTCCACTTAATTTATATTACTAGTGGACAACATACAATTGTCCGTGTGCTTTTTCAATGTTTCGAAACACCTAAACGTCCATAAATTTACCGTGTATCTATTCGCTATCGTTTATAAAGGTATTATTCTAAACTATTATTTGAGTTTGAAATAATCCTTCCACTTTTAACTATTGTATTTCAACAATATTTAACACAATAGTATTAGAATCCCGTATTCAACTTCGAATTCGAATCCCGCATTCAGTATTCGAAAAGTTTGAAAATTCGACTACAATGCTTTTTCTTAAATTATTTCACATAAAATGTTTTTATTTTTTTCTTTCCTACTGTATTTCGATTAATAGAGCATTGATGGTACTAGTATGACAATACAGATAACCGTTTATTTAATATATATGAAGTTGTTTTACTATCATATATGAAGCTAAAGAAGAATTTTTTAAAACGGAAGTGTTTTCTGCTGTATAATAACGGTAATAAATTATGTCATAGCTTATAAAATGTTTTCGCTTTTGTATATTTTGAAATTTTGACTTTAAATTATTTACGATACATATATCGTAATGTATGTATGTATCGTATATTTGAATGAGACTTGTGTAAGTGTGCGTGGTATTCTTGCGTTGAGAGTGTGTCATTGCACATTTATAAAAATATATAGAGATAACAATTATTATAACAGCATATTTATATAGGCAATGATATACATTTGTATTGTGGCATAACAGTATTTTTATGTAGGGCAGTTAAACTAAAGAATATTGAGTTTTTGTTTTTTGAATTTGATTTATTATTTTTTTTTTATTATTTTGTGTTATAACAATTTTCTTTTTATGTTTTATAGATTAAAATTGAAAAACAAGAGGTTAGAGGACAAAAAGGTTGTTCTTATTTTTTTGTTATTCTTCTTTTTATAAAGTGCGGTTCATTGTTTTAAAAATTGTGATTCACTTCTCATATAATATAAAATGCAATGTTCATTTGTAGTAGTGTGGTTTGTAGAGCTTTATTTATTAGTTATTGCGGAAGTTTTTAGTAAAAAGAATTTTGTCTTCTTCATTGAATTTTATTTTGTGAGAGAGACATTGTGTCGCCTCAAGAAAGGAATAATATTTTTATTTTTTATAGACAAAATGTCGTCTAATCTATACCAAAGATGATGATGTAAGATGATATGGAAAATATTTTGTTTATATTTTTTTTATAATAAAGATGAAGGGAATAAAATTTTGCGAAAATATTGTTGACTGGGGCAACAAAATTTAGGTTAATGTATAAAATTATTTCAGGACCTTTCGGTTTCGTCCTTTTTGTGTAACATTAATGATATAAATTTGAATTTTTTTCAGTAATTTTATTGACTCATTTGCCGAATCTCTCATTACATAGCTGTACTACTATTCTAATCTAATAGAAACCGACAACTAACTAAGGCAGTTTTTGGCAATTCAAGCAAATTGGGATTCCTGGTGGTTTGTAGGCGATGTACAACTATTCTGTATGACCAAATATTTTAAGATTAAAAATTCATAATGCGATCCATTTATGGGTTACCGTAGATCCATTTATACAGTTTCACCTTTTATTGAACCCACGTTTGTTAATAGGTTAAAGCGTATTTGATTAATATTACGTTTAACTTCCAAACTATTATTTTATTAATTAGAGTTTTAATTTGTTAAAGTTTTAAAATGCAATTTGGGTCGCTACATATTTTATTTTTCCTCTGTTTTTCAAACAGAGCCTGGTTTATTAAGTTCTGTCCAGGGCCGTATGGTAATGCAATTCCAGAAAATCTACATAAAATTTAAAAAATTAATTATTTTATGCAGTTACAATTCTTGTCGCCATTTCTATTGATTTTTTAATAATTTTCAAAATAATTTTTATTTCCAAATTAATCTTATTTAATTTAATTATATTCATGCTTATGTATGCTTATCATAGCCAAATTTAACTGACCCATAAAAGTTATAAATCATCAAAATTAAGTTAATATTTTTTATTGGTATTTTTCTATTTTATATAGATTTTAAAAATCTTCATTGCTTTTTCAGCGGCAGTGCTAAACGCTATATTTGAAAAATAAAATTTGAAAAACACTACGAAATTTAAGAGATACATTAGGAATTTGTCTTTAATCTCTTTGATTTCCAAACCTTTAAAAATTACCTGTACAGAATGAAGGTGTTTGTAGAATAGAAAGATAAATTTAAAAGAGAACAATTTCTTATATTTTTCGCTCAAATTAAACAAATTCTATAAATAAAATTAATGTGCCCGAGGAATAGAAAACAAATGTATTCGCTTAGGTACAGAGCTAAGCAAAAAAATTTAAAAAAAAAAAAAAAAATACAAAAAAATTTTTTGATCTATAAAATATTTAGAAGAGACAAAATTTATTTTTTTTATTAGAAAAAAATGATCAGTAAAATTTAACTAGTATCAAACGATCCATTCCAACGTAAAGAATAGTTTTTGTTGTGTACGCGGCGGCAGCGATTGGATTCGGAAGCATTTTCGTTTAGCATTGCTACAGCGTGCGTTTTTTGTTTTTTTTTTTTTTACATATTTTTAATATTGTTGTCAATGTCATATGAGTTTATTTTTTGAAAAATTGTTATATACTGTATTATATTTGTATATAACTTGTATATATACATGTGTATATACAGTATGTATAAATAAAATATAATGTAAATTTTCTAAATTTTCAGTATTTCAGAAATTATTCATATGCGGAATGAGATTATTATTTTAAAATATTAAAAATAAATGTGTATATGAATTTGAATTTAAAATAAATTTAGTGAAAAATATTAAAATAATTACGATATTAAAAATTTAAATTAAATTTTATAAAAAAGTATTTAATAAAAGGTACAGAAAAATTTTCTTTACTAATTTGTCAAATTTTCTATAATTATTTGAATTTATTTTAAATATTTATTAAATAAATTTTAATTTTATTAAATATTTTACATATTACCTACGCATGTTTATGTAAAAATATCAATATAACAGTTATAATAGAGTATAACACAAAATATTCAAAAATTAAAATTTGACAAGCTACTTTACGTGTACACACAAAAAAAAAATTATTATTCATATATGAGTTAAAAATATTATTGTAAATTGAAATAATTTTATTTGTTTTTCAAATAACATTTTGAATACACACATATATTTAAATTTATTTAGAATTGTTATATATATAAGTACGAAATTTTAATTCAAAATTTAATAATTTTGCAAAATTGAAAGTCAACGATTTTTTTTTCTGAGTGTTAAAATTTTAAAAATTTATTATAAAATTTTAAAATTTTATTTTAAAATTTTAAATTAAAAAATATTAAGAGAAAAAAGAAGGTGGGGGAAAAATAAATCAAAATGCATTCTCTTTTGTCAGGAAGTATGCAATCGCTTAAAAAACGATTTCCATCATTACAAAGTTTAGGTGTAAGTTAAAAATTTTTATTATTTTTTGAATATTTTAATTTTTATCATAACTAGTCTTTAACCTATGAGGTGAAAATTTTTCATATATCCATCGAGTTAATAGTAATTTTTACAACTCTCTCCCGATTTCTCCGTAAGTTTATTACGCACGCTAACAAAATTAACACTGAGTAAGAGAACATAAAACAGTATGGAGAATATAAAAGCGTGAGAGATAAATATATCGGAGCGGCCGGAATAAAATTTACTACCACCTCGTCGGTTAAAGGTTAGTATAGGAATAAAATAAATTTTACAATTGAATAACTAACATAAAATTCAAATTTTGTGAACATACAAATTTCAAATATTCGAATTCGAATGATTCCAACAATTCAAATAATCTAAATCGATTTTACTTTAAAAATTGTGGCGCATATCAGCGTGAATTGGCATCAAAAAAATCATTCATGACATACTCATATACATATATTTATTATATAGTCTTAGCGTCATTTTATTCAAGTGTAAGTAATAATGTAAATACTGTTCACAATATAATTAATTGATACGCAGTTGATCAATGCAAAATTTGACTTCAAACGATTTTTTGCTTTTTGAAAATATAGAAATGTTGTATTAGATTGTACAGATGTACAAGTTTTTTTTTCGTTGTTGTTTAGTCAATTAGCAATCTTAACATTTGTTGTTCAGAATTTTTTCTACACATCAATCTGTTACACAAAAAAAAAAAAATGAAAATTAATTTGATTTCCGTTTTAGAACTAATGATAAATTAATGAATTAGTCTAGAAGAATATTGTATTGTCAGTGCTTTTTCATCGTGCTCTTTGTTATTATCAAGCCTGTTGTTGAACTTGTTACACAGATTCACCATTCTACTGACTGGTTCATATTTCCCATAATCAATTTTGTGAAACGAGAATTGGCGACGACCTTATTAAAATTATCGGGAAAGATCAAGTTAGATTTAATAAGTTGAAAAGTAAGCCTGTTTTCACAAGAGGGAAGAAAAGTTGGATCCTCTCAAGAAAGATGAGGCAATTCAATTCTATTAACTGGGGACGAAGCAGAGATAAATATAAGAAAGATATCAAAATGTAGGGATTATTAGACTCCTTAGACCAGCGTTTAAAAAGTTCTAACATAGAAATTGCCTTGTCAATCATATAATTGTCGAGATTGGTGAATGATATCAAAGTAAACCTCCAGGTCCATAAGTAAGTCAACGCTAGCCCAACTTTGTCCATTTAATGTATAATCTGAAATCATTGGTTGTCTTTATTTGGAATAACAAATTATCGTTCACTTATTGACGTATATTTGCTCTATTTGCTTTATGAACAGCCTATTTGTCTTGTCAAACTTTGGGCTTCACTCATTTTAATTAGTTTGAGAATTCCATCAAGTAAATTTCAAATAATTTTTCACCAGTGGTTTCCAAATTTTTTGTTAATTACATTTGAACTTTATAGATTTATCTGGCACGTCATCATAAAAAAGCTTTTACCTTTGAATTTTATTTAAAGCCAAAAAACCATGTAGACTTTTAATAGCATCTTCAAAGTTTTGTTTACATCAGTCCCACGTATAATTTTATTTAAAACGAAGAAGTACGTCAATATTCATTACTTTCAAGTTTAAAAGAATTTGGCGTTAATAACATTTTAATTTTAGACAAGAATAAGAATTTTTTTTTTTTGCCAAAATCAAAACACAAAATTGAAAATAAAAAATAAATTAAAAAATTTAATAATAAAAATCAGACGGCTCGACTAGGTTATATTAAAAATAACAAAATGTTAAAAATAAAAGCAAAAACAAAAAAGTAGAAGAATTAATGAAAAATTTTCATTCCCAGTTCTAATTTTAGAATATTTTAAGAAATTTTCATTGCTTCGTTCCATTCTCAATAATTCTCATCTTGTGCAATTATATTTTATTAGAATGGGACGACGGGGGCATAATTTCGGTGATTTTTCTCTTCTTTGCGAGTACTGTATTGGTATACAAAATAATTAACCCAATTTTATTTTTAGATTTTCATATTTTCTACATAATTATTACACGACTATAATTTTGATTCAATTTTGAAATGTTTAATGTAAATTCTTTTATCGTAGGTCTATATTTGATGAAAGCAAAATTGTCGTATTTCTTAAAATATTACAGAAAAATTTTGTGCACGTGTCCAGGTTGTAAAATTTTGTTTTTTATATTGTTGACAAAAATAGTTTTGCAATTCGAGATTTTTTTATAGGTTATAAAACTATTGTGAATAGGTTGTGAAATAATTGTGAATAGTTCATTTTGTTTTATTGTTTAGTTTTACATAACAAAATCTATTTGTGATAAAATAATAGGGGTGACGGGGGAAAAATGCGATAAAATAATGCGGGTGACGGGGGAAAAATGTGATAAAGAATCAAATTGTCATATCCATTGACGCCCTTACTGTAGTTCATATTATTCAAATTATTTGATAAAACTTAAAGTCGCTCTATGTAGTTCGAATCGCTGTCAATACTAGTAAGCAATGAAGAAATATAAGGGATTGTTTTTAACCAAAGGCGAAAATTTAAATAAGCATTGAATTCTAAATAAAAAAAAAGTTGGGAAGCTATTATTTACTACATAACCTAATGCAATAAGAAAATTGTATCAAACATGTGAATAACATAGAAATGGTATGTACGTGCATACTTTAGAGATGCAAAAGGTACAAACGTATTTGTATTGCATGTAGAAATTTATGTATAGAAAATATTTTAAATTAAGAATACCTGGGAATTTAAAATATTTATTTCACTTCCGTCTATATGCTCTCTCTGTATAATCTGCATAATAACATTTCTGCAATATTATCACATTTTGTCATTGTTAATTTACTTATAATGAATGAATCATTATAAAATGGACGTAAATGTGTTTGAAAACATTTAGAATAACAAAGTGAAAAAATTTTTAATTGCATTTAAATAAAAATTTGTTAGTAAGAGCTAAATTACTTAATGTTCTTTGAACACCGTTATGTCATCCAGACACCAAGAGAACCATTTTAGGTGAAACTTTGAAAATTTGGAAATTCCTAATGGCAATGAATGAATCTGTTCAATATTTTAAGTTTTGTAAAAAAATTATGCTGTGTCGAACAATTTTTGTACGAAGCTTTTATAAGTTATAAGAACACCGTATCTTAAGTTAATGTTCAAAAATAAAATACAAGTAAGAATTTTTTCCGGGGTTATGTTGGTGTATCTTAGACTTTCAGGAAGCTCTAGCAAGTTGGGCCTGGAAAGCGAATACATTTGCAGATTCCGTGGGAAAGATGAGGAGTCCTTAATACAGTTTTTGAGATAGTGTGATTCTCTCGCTCATAAAACTGGGGAAATACTAGGGGACTACGCACTCTCGGTGGCAGGGTATAACGTTTTCAGGAACTCAAGAGGTGCTCCAGGGTGGATGTCGAGTGGGTGCTGAATACGATGCCACGGTTCGCTGTTACACCAGTTGCATAAATCTACAAATCTAGAAATCTTAAATAATATCTTAAAAACTAAGATCTAAATTAAAAAATTTTGAAAAAGCACTCTAGCTTTGGATAATAGCTTTGGATAATAGCTGCTAATGAAGTTGTTATGTATGATCATACTTGTATGCGGTATATTTTGTAATTGACTCAAAAAAAAAATCGTTTTCTGCCACAAAACAAAATAAACTTTTATAATTATTTAATTACTCTATATAAAATCAATTTTCTTAAACAAATTACTTCCTCTGTTTTTATATTTATTGTATTTGAAATTTTATTTTTCTCTATATAATAGTACCGCATTTCCGGTCCTATATAGTGTTTATATAATATTTAAAAAATTTAATTATTCTTCTAGTTTAGCATGAAAATGCAAAATAGATAATTAAATACTTTTACAAAGAAGAATCACTATAAAGAGATACACAGAAATAGCAACGTATAAACTAGGAAAAGTTGCCAAAATAACGGAGAGGGGGGGGGGGGGGAAAGCAGTGGCAATATGGATTGATTTTAAGCCTTAACAATGATTAATGTATTGCAAACGAATTTCACTGCCTTAGACTGCATGTATAATGAACAGTTGCCAATGACTGCCAATATATTTATTGATGTCCCTTCGCTCTGAGAGTGTAGAGTTTGAGAACCCGCCTCTTCCCGCAAAAATTTATAACTTTTACATTTTTAGAGATTTATTAGATTTGCTTAAATAAATAAATGGAATTAAAAGTTCCATTCTCAATAATTCTCATCTTGTGCAATTATATTTTATTGGAATGGGACGACGGGGGCATAATTTCGGTGATTTTTCTCTTCTTTGCGAGTACTGTATTGGTATACAAAATAATTAACCCAATTTTATTTTTAGATTTTCATATTTTCTACATAATTATTACACGACTATAATTTTGATTCAATTTTGAAATGTTTAATGTAAATTCTTTTATCGTAGGTCTATATTTGATGAAAGCAAAATTGTCGTATTTCTTAAAATATTACAGAAAAATTTTGTGCACGTGTCCAGGTTGTAAAATTTTGTTTTTTATATTGTTGACAAAAATAGTTTTGCAATTCGAGATTTTTTTATAGGTTATAAAACTATTGTGAATAGGTTGTGAAATAATTGTGAATAGTTCATTTTGTTTTATTGTTTAGTTTTACATAACAAAATCTATTTGTGATAAAATAATAGGGGTGACGGGGGAAAAATGCGATAAAATAATGCGGGTGACGGGGGAAAAATGTGATAAAGAATCAAATTGTCATATCCATTGACGCCCTTACTGTAGTTCATATTATTCAAATTATTTGATAAAACTTAAAGTCGCTCTATGTAGTTCGAATCGCTGTCAATACTAGTAAGCAATGAAGAAATATAAGGGATTGTTTTTAACCAAAGGCGAAAATTTAAATAAGCATTGAATTCTAAATAAAAAAAAAGTTGGGAAGCTATTATTTACTACATAAC